TGTCATTTATGTTCAAAACCTTGTGAGGTGGAGGAATATCAACAAAACTAAGCACTCTTTTCTAAAGTTCTCAATTAATATCAATAAAATGGCAAGTAAGGACCTAATTGTGTACAGTAAAGTTTTCAACATCTTCTTTCTATTCTCATAAGCACATACACAATCACCCCTCAACATTCTTCTTGATATTTTCTCATAATGTGGCTAGCAACTTTCATTATGATGCTAAACATCTCATATTCAACTAAATTAAGTGGTAATTCATGTATCATAATCCATAATAGTCAACTAAGTGATGCTGGTATTGTGTAGTTGCACTTCATTTATTTTTAGCGAGCTTCACTTTATAATGATTGCACTCTACTTTCTCATTGCGATCACTTAATTTTACATTTGTGAACTCCTGTCATACGAAGGATGTCTTTTTCTTTCTCATTCTTTTAACAAAAGGATTTTTAGTTTGAAAATCTATAGCTGCAATAGTTGGGCTTGAAGATGACTCAACACTAAATTGACCATCATGCATTGGTGATTGAGGAAGATTGGGCATTGACTCTGTAGAATTAACTTGTTGTGGCAAATTTTATGACGTATCTTCCAAAGAAATTTTTGTTAGTGCGCAACCAGATATCATTACAAAACAACATTACAAGGAGGTGCAACTACACATAACCAAATACCATTAACAAAATCATAATACATTCTCTTCCTAAAAACTTATACAAAAAACAAGATGATCTAGGAAATAGTTATCCTAAAAAGCTTTTTACAATATGTTAATGGATCATCATAACATATTCAAAGTATAATATTACTATTTTAAAATATAGCTTTTCTCGCAAAACTTTAATTGTGAAATCTACCTTTTATTTTACCAAACTCAAAACTCTAAAGGACAAACTGATAGGAAAATGAAAGCTCTGATTGAGATATGTGAATTGCCAATCTATTGATGGTATCTACTTTTCGACTTCAATACAATTCGACGACACTCCATAGGATCCAGCGAAAAAAAATTGAAAGAAAACCCGAAAAAAAAAATCTACGATATATGTTCGAGGGTTCCAAGCACGAGAAGAAAGATCGAAAGTCGGAACTACCATGATCCGTGATTTATATTCAAAGAGCGGAACCACCAAAAAAAAGAGAAACAAATGCAAAAAAAAAAGATTGAATAAATCTGCGAGATGGATGCTAGATGTTTTGGAGGATTTAAGGGAGGTAGTAGAGAAAACGATGAAGGCAAATATGTACGTCTGTTGATATCGGCATGAACAAGTTCAAGGACGAACAACGTTGGGGAAGAGGAAGTTTTCGAGCACGGGAAGAAAGAGGATTTCAAAGTGGCATAAGAGCAAATAAGGATAGGGCAATTGAGAGTGAGAAGCGAGACATTATCTTTGTTTGCGCGTGATGAAGCGGTGTAAGTCTTACGATCTCGATATAATGTTGTTCGCATATCCATCCAATTACTCAAATAAAAAAAATTAAGATTATTATTAATTAGTAATTAAATGATAGATAAGAACGTAATATCGTTATATATATAATAATAATAATTTATTTATTAAATATATATTATAAAATTAATCGAGTTTTTTAATGAGCTTGCTAACGAGCTTCATATTGAGTGTGTTCACGAGCTTCTTATCGAGCTTCCTATCGAACTTCATATCAAGCATGTTCACAAGCTTTAAACGATCTTGTTCATGAACATAATCAAGCAAGAAGCATAGTTGTTCGAGCTTTTTTTATTAACACATCGTATTACAAAAAATATTTAAGTTTGTTCAACTAACTAATTAAACGATCACAAACAAGCTATTATTGAGCCGAGCCTCGAGCAGCTCATCGAACACTCAATTCACTTTTATTTGATAAGATGAAATAAATAAAATGATGTTGAACATGTTTATTTCTATTGTATTTAGATGTTTTAAGTTGGCTCTAAATGTTGATTATTGATGAAATAACCTAAATATTAGGTCGAAACACCTAAGACTTTTAGTAAAGCTATTAAGAATAGTTGTAATGAGAAGGCTCAAGGTAAGAAATTCATTTATGAATCTATGAACAATGAAAAAAAAATAGCAAGAGATTTAGAGGGATAAGAAGCTACTTATAAAAAAAAAAGAGAAGGAATTGATTGGTTGCAACACAAATGAATGAGTTGAATTATATTATATTTAATAAAAAATTGAGAGATATACGCCTCAAATTATAGAGATAAAGAAATGGTGATTATGAAATGAATCATTTGGTTGTTAATGATGTACTGGCTGATGATAAATGGATAATACCAAAAAATAGTAAAGGATTTCAAATTGAAGATGAAAAAATGGCCTTTAATGAAGTCAAGAATTAATATATTAATGCTAATATTGAAAGGGTTATTAAATTAAAAGCATGCTCTACTTCACAATCATTTAAAAGAAAGAAGCAAAATAAGATTGGGCCTTAAAAATATTCAAAAAGGCAATGTATGTATAGTGGATTACCTATTTTAAATTATATTGAATCAAATGTTAACTAATATAGATAGTAAGATAAAAATATAATAATTTAAGAAAAATTTGAAGAATAAGAGAGGTGAAATCCAAGAATGGTAGAATTATGATAAATGATAACTTTTCTGAAAATGATAAAAGTAAGGATGAGGCCAATGTGGATCTTGATCTTCATGACGGAGTGTTTAGCATGAATCTCATATTAAACTTGCATTTTATAATAACATTTAGGATTGAAATTTGTGATTTATAACCTTATGATGATGAACTAAATAAATATGTTGATAGTTTATGTCATATTTATTTAATTATTTTTAACTTTATGAGTTTTTTTTAGGCTTAGATCTCACCTCGCTAGAAAAATGCCGCACTTCTCAATTTCACCTTTGTAAAAATTATTGTAAAGAATTAAACTTTAGATGATTATTAAACAATAAGCTATATCTACCATTCATTCACATGTTGAGAGTTGAGCCTTAGATACTTAGTTCTTCTATGCAAGCCTATAAAGACTTGGGCACTTAAACATAACTCCAAAAATTATCTTGTATTTGGTATTTTTGATATTTTATTTGTAGTTTTGTCTTTATATTAGATTTTTTTCTTTTTTTAGGGATATTTCAATTTTCCATTTTACAAATATTTTTATTTTTTTATTCTATTGTTTTTTTTATTTTTATTTATTTCGAAGAAAAATTATATGTGCCTCATTCCAAAATTACCAATCCAGTTTGATGCGCAAAATGTCAAAAAGTCATTAGAGAAGGGCATGAATGAAATCATATTAACCTTGTGATTTATTATATGAATGTTTTTGAAATACTATATTGCACACTTTTTGATGTGCCATTTTGCATGCTTCTCATCATGTGTTTTTTTTTTTTTTTTTTCATGTTTTTTTTTTTTTTTTAATTCATATCAAAGCAATTTTTTATATTTTCTTATGATTGCAATGTTTTAACAAGGCATTTTTGTGAACTAACTTTCTATCTCTTCTTAGTCATCCATTTCATTTCAGCATTCCCTCTTAAGCCCAGTTTTTCAAGTAAAATTTTGGCAGCACTTCCATTACTATCATGAAAGGGAAGTGCAATTTAGGTGTGGTGAACAAGGCACTACGAGATGCTCAGAGTATCTTTTCTCCCATTTCAAATTTGGAACGGCTTTCTTCTTATTTTTAGAAAGCCGCTTTAAGAAGCAAGAAGAAAGCCGTCACAAACGTAGCCTAAGACTTCGTTTGGGAAGCCTTTTTACTATTTTCTTAAAATAATTTTTAATTACAAAAATTTTCAATTAAAAAAAAATTTTATCCTAAAAAATTATTTTAAAAAAAAGTAAGAAAACTATCTCAAATGAAGCCAAAGATTTCATTTGAGATAATTTTCTTGTTATTTTCTAAAATAACTTATCAATACAAAAGCTTCTTGAAATTAAAAAAATAATAATGGTAAAAAATTATAACAAATAAAACCTAAGCAAGGCAGATGGATATAGAACGCAATTTTTGTGAAATGATGGTGGAGTTTGCTCATGAAATGAGAGAAAATGCAGAGGGGGCATTGATTAGCAACCTTTCCCCTATTATTTATTAAATTAACAAAATCTTTCTATTTTTTTATCTTTTATAGATTTCTTTATTTATTTCTATTTTATTATTATTTATCATTGCATTATTCTTTTCAAACCCCCTTTTTATATTATTTCGATTTTTTTAAAAATATATGCTTGTGATAACTCCCCACAAATTTCCCTCACCTTTCAATGTGCATGCAAATTATTTCCTTTATGCCCCAAAGCAAGTAATACAAGAGAGCCTTATTGGACCATTTCGACATATTAGGCTTCATTTGGACCGGATTTTTTACTGTTTCTTAAAACAATTTTATTGTAAATAAATTAAAAATTTTATACTAGAAAACTGTTTTAAGAAGCAGTAAAAAAGTCGTCTCAAACGAAGCCTTAAACGCATTAGGATAATCTGCTTGGTAAAATGGACAATAGATAAGGCTCTTTTCATGCAAATGGGATGTTCCGAGTCATTCTTATATAAAAAGGGGAATGTCTGCCATTGTTGTTGTACTCGTTTTCTTTTCAATGTTTGTGTGCGTCTGAAGTCGCTAGTTGATTTTGCCAGCCACAGTTTTTGATGATTTCAACTGTAAGGTGAAATCTCATACAAACAAACTGAATATTTTGAGTTAATATCTGATGATTTCATCCATCTTTGATCCAATAGCTTCTGAATCACATATAAAGATCAACACAAAAGAAAAAATTGCACCCTATCTCATTAAAAAGAAACTCTAAAGTTTCATTTGGAATGACTTGCTTACTGTTTCTTAAAGCAGTTTTTTAGTACAAAAATTAAAGCCGTCCCAAACAGTAAGATAACTGCTTTAAGAAACAACAAGAAAGCCGTCCCAAACGAAATCTAAATCTCTTAAAACTATGAATGGTCGAAAAACAAAAATATTACCCAATTTAAAAAGAGTATCATCCCAAATCTCTATAAAATCATCAAAAAATTCTAACACAACCAAACTTTCAATTCATAAAGATTGCACTCTCTAATCATATACATCAACTTCTTTCTTCTTCATTTTATTTCTTTCTTAATTCTCTTTTGCTTTTTTTCTCCATTTATCAAAGAGATGTTGCAATTCTATTTCCCTGAAAACAGCCACAATCCCTCTTCTAAGAAAAAAAAAAAATTGACTCAAGAAGATGTGGATACTAGGCAAAAGAAATTGGAGTTATCTGTCATAGAAACTAAAATACATAAAATGCCATGAAATACGAGATGGATCAAAAGGAGATTTTTATGAAAACAATCACATGGAGGGCTAAGATATAGAGAACAAATGCAGACCTCAGAAGCATAAGCTTTTGTAGGCTTTCAGTTGTGATGCCTGCAATGTAAGGCCTGCTGTAGGAGTCTCCAGCATAATCAGCATAAGCTGCAGCCGACCCAGCCATGCCTCTACTAAAGCGATTTCTTGTGTTGTTTGCATCTGCGGAACTAATTTCAAGCTTCTTTTGTATGTTGTTGAGATTCTCTAGTTCCTTTTCCTTGGTGTGTATCTCGTTCATCAGATTCTCTGCTTGTGCCTGAAAGAAAAAATAGACATCATTTAAGTGTATATGGCTTTTCTCGTCATAGGAGAATGAATATTTTCCTTGAATTTTGATGTTTCCCTCTATCGCTGTTCAACCTTCAAAGTCAAGATCACATAATTATTACTTTGTGTTTCACAACAAAAGAATAATGTGGATCACATTTCATCAATTTCATGATGGTTTCATTATTTATTAGGCATAAGAAAAGATAAAGATGATCAAAAGATATGTTGAAGATCTAACTAGTATATTTCGCCAATCAATATGGTTCAATCAAAGCAATGTTTCATTAAAAATAATCATATATTTGATTGCAAACCATTTGAAAAACTTTACATTTTAAAATCATAATTAACTTTTCGTGCAATCAAAGCTAACTATTATTAAAATTTGTATGCATCAGATTGATAATCAGATTGAAAACAAGCATACAACTAGTTTCAATAATGTCGAAAAGACTGAATGGTTTTTATCTTGCATTAGAAGGTCAGTAGATCGACTTTGAATAACGAGGAAAATAGCGTTCCCTTCCTAGGGGGAAAATGCCTATTCTCCTCCAAATTTTGATTTTGTATCTAACATTGCATATAATTTCCAAACATAAGTTCACACCATTAATTGTGATCTAAGAAATATGAATTATCTATGGGCCAAGCTTATCAATTTTTGGATAACTTAATCATCAAGTAAGAAAATGAAAAATACAAAGATGATTGGATGGTACATAAGTCCTTTGAAAATTGAACATTTACTTGTAAGATATCTTAAAGGCACATGCATTTCATTCCAAGCCATTTGAAAGTATTTACATACACTTTAAAATCACAATCACCTTATCTTGAAAACGTAGCCCCCATTCCTTGTGTTTATCCGTCTACTTGATGATTGAATCATCTAAAAAAAATCTTAAAAATTCTGTCACTAGTTTTATTAACATAAAAGAGCATAGACAATTTTCAATTTTGATCTTGCACTTGAAGGCCATAATATCAAAATCTACTGACTAAAAGATAGTGACTCTCCTCTTGGATAATAATAAATATTTTTCTCATAATTTAATTTATGCATCTACTAATACATATATAATCTTAAAACTAAATATCACACCATTGATAGTGATGTTCAACAAAAAAATCAAGGTTTTGGAACTCAATTTTTGTTTCATTTTTTATCCCATCAAAAAATTTTCTATTATAAAATATTATACAAATGTATTTAATGTATGGCATAAAGAGTATTATCTAGTTGAGCTTGAAGTTATAATAATATGAAATTTAATAGGACCATAAGGACAAAATTATAGTACAACTTTAATGATTAATCATGATGTTTTGTGAAGTTTCATTAAAAAAGATTTCCAGGTGAAACTTCACTGAAGCTCTTGACTTTCGATCAAAAGTCATAAAAATTTGAAGCCAAAAATAACAGTAAGTTTCATATCGATTTCAAACAAAACCACCAAGACTTAAGATCATGATAAGCATTATATGTGGATCTAGTTTCATCAATTTTCATAATGATTTAACCCCAAGTATGAGAAAAATACATGAATAATCAGATGGCATATATAACCCATACAATTAAAACAGTCCAATAATGCAAAATATCATCAACCACCAATATATTTCATTTGAAATCAATTGAAAGTCCTTAAACCTTGAAATCACAATTACTTCTAATGCAATTAAACCCATCCATTACAAAAATTTTATTACATCTAATTGGTAATAAAATATTCTTAAAAATTATTGTAATCACCCATGCAACAAATTTTAATGAACTTAAAGCGAATGATATAATATTTAAATAGCATAGCATCAAAATTTAATTAAGTGGGCAATAGCATTTCTCCTCCAACAAGGAGAAAAATCTTATATATCTATAATATATAAAATCAGGGAATAATGAAGTTGAAACTTACTTGCTTTGCAGTCAATTGTTCAATCAGACTATGGAGTTGCTTTTCCAGTGCCTTCTCCCTTTGAGCTGCATACGTGGAAAGAAACATTCTTAAGTTTACTCATGAATTGTTCAGGAAAGCTCAAGCTAAGTGCCCGATTTAAGTCAGAATTATTATTAAATGCGCATTCATATTAAATTGAATTAAAGGACAATGGAGGCACCGGCCAGTCCACTTAACACACGAGTATGACCTCTGATTACACACGAAGCCAGTCCACTTGACATAGTTGACTATTTTAATTTCACAAGTAAGATGATAAAAGCAAATATAATGGAAACAATGGTAAAACTTTACTAGCAATGGAAAGCTTCTAGTGCTCACTATGTTTATACTAAAATAAACTTTTCAAGTTCAAAAAATTTGAAAGTCCAATACAATTTATTTATATTGCCGTAGCACTTGCAAAACAAACTTAACGGAGATTTGGGAAAGAAGAACTATGGGATGTTTAAGTGGATGCTGATGTCAACCTAATAGTCTAGCATAAAAACTATGTCAAATTAAATGAAATGAAGTGTTATTTAAAGTTTGCTGAGTGCTAAATTGTTCCAATATGCGACTCTCTATGGTCTAAACAAATAGCAGTGAGAGGCACGTGTTCATTATGATGACAGTGTCCACATGATATGCATGCATTTAATTAGGCATTTATTTTCATATCAATTATAACAATTTTTCCTATGATTAAGTCTAGATTTTCAAGATAACTAACTAGCATAATGAAAATAACCATGTATTTGGAAAACAATTATATTCTGCTTTATTAGGATAAATCTAATTGAGCAAAAGATTCGATCATTATCAAGGTTGTAAAAATCAGATCGGACGTCGAGCCGGAAAAATGAGAAATTCAAGGTTCGACAGTTGGACCGTACGTGAACCAAAGGTTGAACTAAATAAAGTAATAAATATTAGAATTAATTAAATAAAAAATAAATGATATAATAATTATACAATAACATAAATTTGTGATTAAAAAATAAATTTAGTTCACATATAAACTAATAAATTTAATATAATTTTTTGCTAATTTATGTTATATATTTAGATAAAATTTATAGCCATAAATTTTATACTAAATTCATATTATAAACTTACAATCTATAAATTATTCATCTTAGATTATTTATAATTAATAAATAGATAAAATTAATATTTAGGGTTTAGATATTTTAAAAATAAAAAGTAAAATAGATAAATAAATAAATAAATATAATTAACCAACAAAATAAATATTAGTCCATTATTAAAAAAAAATTGTTTAAAATAATAATGTAAGTGTTTGAAGTAGAAAGCTTCAAGCAAGTTATTTAGTCCCACATCACTTTGGAGCTTTGTATAATTTTATTTATATAGCTTTTTTGTTTGCGTGTTAGAAAATCACTTTATTAGTGGGACCATGTGGGTATATTTTATTCGAGCTTGGTTGATAAATGATCATTATAGAAATTTAGTGTGCATTTAAAAATTAAAAAATATGTTATATTTAAGTTAATTTAATATTTTATATTAAATTAATTTATTTAATTATTTATGGATAGCAATTAAACTGGTCGGTTATTAAAAACTTGGACCAATTCAACGATTGATCGTTTGAACTAGTGGTTCAGACCAATTCACAGCAGTTTGATGCTGGGCCAATTTTTAAGATGGATCAAACTGATCATATGAGCAGTTCACGATTGAACCGATCGAACCGATAGGATCATTTTGATTTTCAAAACCATGATCATTACTTTGTATGTTACCTATTCTTTCATGTATAATGAGTAGAACTCGTAAGAGGGCAAGCAATTCGTGCACAATCCTGTTTGAGTGGCATTCCTATAGTCGACGCTAATCAACATGCAAGCAAACATACCATTTTCCTATAAATACAAGAAAGCCAGCATGCAAGTGAATATAGCAACATGCCAATCAATCTACGTAGGGAAATAGAGATGAATGCAGCTCACCTGACAACCTACATCAACATATAAATGAACACATTAACTTGTCTGCAAACAATGAAGCTTCTTACAAACATATACAATGCAACATACGATGAATACAAACACCCACTAGCAATGACGAAATATTTGTCATATACACTATAGTGTGCCTCCGGGTGATAACCAGCAACAGGCAATGAATGATATGACACTCTTGTAGTAAACAACAATTTAATGCCAGACAAATACATTGATCTCTCACAAGCAAAGGCGGTCGATATGCAGTGAATGCAAACACCTACGAGTCGTTGTAGGAGACTCGTCATCCACAAGCAAATACATAAGAGCCGTAATAAAGGCAAACACTTACGAGTAACACTAGAAAGTATGCATTCAATATAACTTGCTCGCAAGTAATGACAGAAGGCCCATGATGCATGCAATGGTCCTACCTACAAGCAATGACAATATATGTATTAGCATAAGGAGATTGCATCGAGTGCGACACACTACCTGCAGGCAAAACGCAATGAGTCTGTGATAAATGCAAGCATCTACAAGCCAGTGTAGAAGATTCTTCATGTACACAGCGATCTGCCTACAAGCTATACTGGTGATTTTTGGATATCTGCTGATAATCTACAAACTAATTAAATAGAACTTGCATGGCATGTGGCTCGCATATAAGAAGCAATGAATGACTTGTAGTGCAGCACTATGAAACACCTCTAGACTATGTTGGAAAAATATACATTGACCACATTCCACCTACATGAGACAACGGGTGACTTTTGAATGTCCACAGATGACCTACAAGAAAATTTAATAAAGTTTAGTATTGTACGACAGCTCACCTACAAGGAGCAACAAACGACCCGTAGCGCAGCTACGACCCATCTACATGCAACAGCTAGTAGCTCCTAAATGCCTAGTGCTGGAGCACGAACCGTGTTAACAAAGCTCCCATTACTCGACAACCTATTTTTATGAAGCAGCAAATGACTCGTAGCGCGACACTACGATTCACCTGTAAGAAGCAGAGAATTTATAGTAAAAATTGCGGACCATTGGTAAATTGAGGCAAAAAAATTTGCGGCACCAGACTGTCACACCAGATAAATTAGCTTATTTGCAAGTGACAGGTTGAAGGCTTCGGATGCACTGCATAGCTCATTTGCAGGTTGAAATATACTCCTGCAGGCAGAATGCTAAAGAAAAAGACAACATGCAAAAGATAAAATGAGCTAAACTGCACAACATATATGCAACAAATGAAACTTAATGCACTGCTAAATCATGCCACCGAATTTGCAACACTCATACAAACAAACAAAAGGCATTCACATGTCCCTAAATAGAAACTTACACATTTTTAAAAAGCTCATCACCTGCATCATTAACCATATTTGAATATTACAAAAAATACCCTCTTGTGCATGACACATTCATAATATGCATACATCTGCAATACACAGGGTGCATCATGCGAATACATCACTCAATACACAGCATGCCACATCGTGGCGACGCATTACATTAACATGCAATCACATCATATGTATACACATCATAACATGCAAAATGTATGGTTCATTTACACATTACAGTAGGCAGAACTCATTATGCAAGCATACTATCGAACATATAAAATATATTGTGTAGCGGCAGCGCTACGTCGACATGCCAATACTTCATGCGCTACCTGAAAGTATTGAATTATCATGCAAATGTACTATGAAAGCAAACATGCAATGTGTTCTTGCATTATACATACATATTATGTAAATGCAGTATACACAATGATTATGCTTAAGTCACTATGAAGCATATCAACACATCATGAAAGCATGATTGAGCGTTGTGCAGATGCAAAAATGCATCATACATGCATACCTTCAAATATATGAGTGCATACGTTAACATGTTAACATGCAGAGGGAAATATAAATGCGTACTTGAGTATATATGTTGTATGAACCTATTGCATTGTATGCATATAACTACTATACAAATATATCATACAAAATGCACTCAAAAGCATACATCAGCATGGGCCCCGACGAGCATGATGTATGAATGCACGTGATATATAAGGATGTTGCGCGAGTCAAGAAATGAACTTAAGTTCAAGCCTAATCCTATGTCGGCAAATAGACAGAGTCGACACGGCTTGAATAATTGAACAAATACACGATCGTAGCACAGATCGGAGCATTTGATTTTCTACATTTATATTACAAAGAAAATTCACACATCAAAATGAATATCCCAGTTTTCGATATCCATACAATAATTCCATTAATTAGTATCTCGATCGAGATCGGATCCCCTGTTTGCAAGCAAAGTCGACAAGGTCCAATTAATGAAATGATCATATCTAAATAACTCCACTGATGGTCGTGTAGATAGAAAATTTCAACCGGAGAAGGCCCCAAACTTTTAAAATGCCTCTCATACTCATAAAATATAAACATTTAAAGTGACAATAAAGTCACTCTCTTTATCGTCGTGTTGAATGCAAATCTTAACCAAAGGGTTAACTCTCAAAGACCTATCAAAGATTCAAAATTCTACCTTTTATCAATGATGTTAATATATTTAAAAATGAAATTAATTGTCAAGCACTTCAAGCAAAATAATCGCTCACCCTCTACAACAGTTTGCCAAGATAGACAAGTTTGAAAAGCACTTCAGCTCACAAAGAGCAGCAAATGTCTACTCGAAAACATCACTATGATTCATTCTCAAATCATCTTTTGTCAGTAAGGATGCAGTACGTGTCCTCTAAATGATGATTTTGCTGCCAAATAGCACAACATATAAACGGTTATGACTAAGACCCTCTGATCGAGTGATTTTATTGACAAATGGTACCACTAAATTACAGTCATGGTTAGAGCCCATATGTTCCCCAATGACTCTAAATCATTGAGTAATGAATCAATAGGATATGATTGATAGAGCACAAAGCCCTTTGTTAGCTAAGGTAGACTCAAATCTATCCCCTTAGGTAGATATTCACCCCAAATCTATAAGATACCGTTGGATGAATCAACTTATGGCTACCGACAAGAATCCTTCGATCAAGTTAGGTCGACTACCTCCTTTGACTAAGTAAACTAGGGACAATAATGACCCGGAACGACGAAATTATGAGATCTTGATCGAGTTCATCGTCATCCCCCCCCCACTATCTGCTTTAAGTTAGCGGTGATATAAGTTTTAATTTTCAAATATAAAATTATGTTGCTACTATATGCTAGATACTACGTATATGTCTGATGACTAGCCTTAATCGAAATTTCTCTCTCAATATCGACAGGGGTAATTAACTACAGGGGCTTGCACCTATAGGAAACCTGAACTCAAATCATAAAGTCCTCGCAAATGAGGCAAAATCTCTGGGTAATATCTTATCGAAAACCCAATCTGCCTTTTGAAAATTTACTTCAGAACCTAAACACTCGTTGGCACAAAAAAGAAAGGGGTCGAGCAGAGGCCGGGGCCCGAAATTTTGGAGCCCGCATCGTGCAAACTTAATGAATTCGCACAACGTATAATGTGTTTGCATGTCAATATAATGCACTACGACATAGAATGCATTTATATGTTGAATGATGTGCATTTGCATGATGTATTTTGCACATTGTACAGTATATATGCATGCAATGCAATGGATATATACGATATATCTGCATGTCCGCATGAACATTCACATATTTGCTTGCATGTTGAGATACTTGCATATGCATTTATATGTTTGTATGTGTATTTGTATATTTGCATATTTATTTATGCATTACTTAATGTGGTTATATAATATTATTGTATGTTATGTGTTGTATGCATGATATATTTACATTTTGTATTTGGTACAAGCACGATACATTTACATGTTATTTGGTATATGCATGATATATTTACGTATTATCGACATGCATGCACAAGTCATTTTTATGTTGCATAATATACTCGAGCAATGCATTTACACGTTGTGCAATACACTTGCACATTTCAATTACACGTTTGAATGAAAATCGGTTCATTTAAAAAGTGGGTTGCATAATCGACGATATATGTGCAAGCCACTTAGCATACATGTCAACGGTGCAACACATCTAAATAGCGCATTATATAGTATCATGCATGTGCAATAGCGCATGGCATAAGGCGTAAATGGTGCGCAATATTTTGTTAACATGCTATAAATTTCAAATTATAAATTATAATTAAATTTAAGATTTATGAATTAACATCACAATTAATTATTAATTAATTAAAAATCAAATTAATAAAATATTTAAAAACTTTAAAGTATTAAACTTTTTGTAGAGTTTAAAACTATCATTTTTACTATTTGGCAGAATTTATGCTAAATTATGCTTAAATCCTACTCAATTCTATTGATATAACTTTATATAGGATTTTAAAAAAAAATTGTTTAACATAATATTTATAATTAAATCTTGCTCTAATCAACCAATTATTTGCTATTTAATGGTATTTAATATATGTTTAAAATGATATGCACCGCGCCACACGCTATGCACCGTGGCTTCACGAAAAACTTTGCACTATGGTGCGTCATTCATCATTGAGAATATGCTACTTAGTGCTCTCATATAAGGCACTTGTATGGTTGGTAATACATGTACACGCCACTCATGTATTCATATAATATGCTTGTATGTCTTTGGTACACACATTATACAACCAGAGGCTCATAGGGGACACTCTCTTTTAATGATTTTACACGTCATGCACACTTTAACGAGAAGGTCGCGCACATCATGATGCGCAACAGTGTACTATTTTATTTTTTTCAAACACGTGCATTCAAGCAATGTATAATATTTGCTCTCCATGGTGAACATTAAGGCATGACACTTGGATCTCGAGTCTAAAGAATCCACCACCGAAAGGTCCCGACAAAGGGAAAAAAAATATACCAAAGTCTTTAGAAGTTTTTTTTTACATGATGTGCATACAAACATGGAAATATATCATAGACATCCATTGCGTCATATGCATGTATTCCATGCAATGTGCAAAATGCTTCATGCAAATGCACATCATTCAACATACAAATGCATGTGTTGTAGTATTGCATTATACAGACATGCAAACACATTATACGTTGCATGAATTCAATAAGTCACAACGCAAATACATTATACAAATTACATATAATTGTATCATACCCGTAATTAAAAACGTATCGATCGTCCCATAAATACATTATGCAAAAATACACTGAAAGTATATGTTCGTATGGGCCCCGATGAGAGCAATAAATACGCAAGCATGACGTTTAAGGATGTTGCGCGAACCGAAAAATAATAAATGAGGTTTAAATGTATCTCCCTGAAAAGTATGCAAACATATTATGTAAATGCAATATCATACACACATTATTTAAAAATGAAATTTAAATTATCCACATATGTTCTGACCGTCGCATATAATTTCTAATATTGAGGTCTGAGAATGCAGCGCGGGCTAAATTTCAAGTCCAATCATTCTCCCTGAAAAGGCTAGAGTCGATACGAATTAGATTAACAAGCCAATGCATAATCACAAATCTACTGGGATATTTAAAGTTAAATTTCACATTAGGCCTTCAAAAGCTATAAGTGAAACTCGTCATAAGCTCTTCAATCTTAGCATTTATATAAAAACTCATGAGATCAGTCGTTGAACCTAATCCTCTTTTGGCAGGGAAACAGAGTTGACAAGATTTAGACAACTCTAATAAACAATTATATAAATCCCGATAATGACTGTGTTGAAGGTGAATCTCAATCGGAGGGGAATCTACCCTTTTAAATGTCTCCCAATATTGATAAAGATAGACACTTTCAAATGAGTTTAACTTAATCCCCGATGATGGTCGTGTGAAAGCTAATCTCAACTGGAGGGGACTCTACTCTTTCAAATGCCTACAAACCTCAATGACATACATATATTTTAAAGTGACTTTAATGTCACCCTAATAATAGGCGTGTTGAATGTAAAGCTCAACCAGAGATATCAATTCTCAAAGATCTATCCAAACTTCAAGGATCAATAATTACTAAAATATTAATATTTAAAATTAATATTAATTACATATAACTTAAAAAGAAAAATTCATCCACATTCCCCAACCGTTTGGAAAGGGCGATAAACTCAAAGATACTCTAGCTCATAAAGAGCGAATGTCTGAATCGATATATTACTAAGATTCATTCTCAAATAATATCCTGCCAAAAAGGACTTTGTGTTTGCCCTCTAATCAATGGCTTGGTCAAATAACTCTACAAAACCCGTAATTTGGCCAAAACGACTGCATGTGGTAAACGATTATGACCGTAGCCCTCTGACCTAGTGTTTGGTCCAACGACTTCGCTATCTTATAGTTATTGTAAAAAGCACATATGTTCCCTAATGGATAAGTTACCAATGAATAATGAATTATAGGGTATGATCGATAGAGCACAAAAACCCTCTGTTAACAAATGTTGACTTGAATTCATCCCGTAGACAAACACTCACCACCTCACGTCTGTAAGGTACCCTTGTACAAAAAAACCCATGGCGACTGATAAGGATCTTGCAGTCAGGTTGGATTGACTACCTCATCTGATTAACTAGACTAGGGACCATAATGACCTAGGATTTGTTAGGATGTCGATGCAGCCCCCTACGCAAGGATGGTGTCAGGATGCTATCGAAATTTTGACCGACATGGGACTCAAACAAGTTTTGTAAGACAAGAAATTCCTTCATCTCCTAAATATTTCAACACCTTTATTGGAATATTAATTATCACATCCAACAACTTTTTCACACTTTATTTTTTTAAGTCTCTCTAACTTTAATTTTACTAAAATACGACGATAAAAATAAAAATCTCTATTTTCATTTAGGATAATAAAGTCAATCGTATTCTCACAATCATCATCGAAAAGTTTACTAAAATATCTTATTCACCTATGTTGAATACCCTAATCTAATAAAACCATTTTTTTATCTTCTTCATTAATGCACTTCACTTAAATGTATGTTGCTTCATAGATTAAAATATAAAAATCTTTTATGAGTTCAGACTTTCTCAATTTATTGATTACCCATCCATTGGTCTTACAACCCAGTTAAACACTGATAGTTAAGAGGCGATACAAAGTTCATGATGTTTAGTAAGCAACTAATAAACTATTCACTTTTGAAGAGATGAAAAAGAAAAAAGTACTACATCCCACCTGGAGAAGGTTGCTTCATAGATTCCTTCTGAACAAGAGACCATTCTTCCTCTAATGTCTGAACCATCACGTCAAATGAATTCTGAGCACAGAACAGCACAGAACAATGAAGACTCTAAATTTACCTTGTTATTGATTCAATTTCAAGTTCATTTAAATGAAAAAAAAGGAAAATATCGGAGAAAGGAACAAACTAATTCTTCTTTCTTTTCTTCTAATTCTTCTGATTTAACAGCCCTGGAAGATTCATCCACTAGATCAACTTGTTCAGCATTGTTACCACCACCTTTTGATACCATGGATTGACTAAACTTCACCTCAGCTTCTACTTTTTCCAGGTTTTCCTTTAAATCCTTTTCAATAAGGTCCAGCTCCTACAAGCAAGCAATGTGTAAAGCATCCACGGCATCCTAAATAGCAGAAATATTTATGAAAATAGGGGTTTCCAATATTTTAAAAAAAAATTTTTAGCACACGCCATACATCAAGTCAGCAAACAGTGAAAGAAATCAAATGTGGGGATTGTGTGTCAGAGTTCCATGCTATCTTCAACACCAATTTTTTTCTATGTACAATGTTATCTAGGGATTCTAACAGTTGAGATAGCACTTTCAGTCAAAATTGCAGCAATTTACAAAAGACCCATTCACAGCTGTGTAACATTAAGTAGCACATGACGTACGTCATCACATAAGGATTAGAAACTTTGTAAAACAACAAGACAGAAGGTTGCACTAAAATGTACTACATTCTTTACTGGAAAAAAAAAAACCACCCACTAAACCAAACAAGCAGAATTAGAGAGAATTCACTGCAATCTAAACATCACTATATCCATCATCGTAATCATCATTAGCTAGTTATATCGCAACTATTTTGGTTTAGCTTTATGAATCCTTTCATTTCAATTGAAGGCTATATGTGCTATTAACTCTATTGTCTTCAAGTTTTTTTTCCTTTTTTGCACAACTTCTAGTCATGTCACATTTAATCTGCCCATTTGTATTTCTTAACTTCCACAAAAGTTTCATTTACTCATCTTATTGATGCATCTTCTGGCCACTAAGTGAACAACTTGATTTTTTTCCACTACCTTATTTTCAATACATAACACTTGATAGTTATTTCTCACTCTAGCATTTCTAACTTTACTATACATCCTTTTTTTTTGTCATACTCAACTTAAACTATCAGTATTTGTTCCACTAAGTTTCGATCAGCCATTCAAATTACAATTCTAACACTTATCTTCAAGTTTCAATATTACCTCGTATTGCTTACTGTTCAGTGTTCATATACTATTCCATTTCAATCACCAAGCTTTCAGGTCTAGAAGTTATGTTCTCATTTAGATAGCATTGTTTCGAAAACAACAAAAGATCTCTCGGGGTAAATGCACAACCATACTGCCATTTTTTACGTGAATAGGTCCTATTCATGATCATACCCCTTGCCATGATGGTTAGAAATTGGAATGGTTTACTTCCATTTTTATATGGTGTGATTCATTGTTAAAAATTCTTGATTAGAGATCAATCACCAAACATTTTAGCTAATGATGAGCCATATAAGTAATATTAAGTAGTTCCAACCAAAAAATGGTTGAACAACAAATGTTATAATAGAGTGATATAGGATTAAAGGATATTGGGGCAGGAGTTTCATGTGCATGGAGAAAAAATGAAAAAGAAAGAGATAAGAAAATGAACATATAATGACTATTGTGGAAAACTGTTAGAAGTGATGCATTGGCTCAACAAACATAACTAAGTAAATAAGACAGTTCTCATTTGTTTTGTTTTTTCTATAGCCTGATATACCAAAAAAAACTGCTTCTTGAAAGCAGGTTGGTGTTTGGATGATTTTTTTTTAAATATGAATTGTTACCCACTCAAAAATATAGTGAGAATTTGCATTCTAGTACCCGATCGAGCCGATTCAAGCCTGACTGGATTCGATCGCGCTCGATCCATCAAACTAAAATTCACCCAAATCAAGCATTAATTTTATCAAATTAAACTCAATTTCACCAAATTAAAATCAAATCAACCGAGACCGACCCAAATCTGTCCAAATCAAACTAAACCGAGCCTTATCGAACCAAATTCGACGCATTTCGGTGCCGATTCAAGTCCAATTTCACTAAATTGGCTTGATCGGACCCAATCGAACCTGGGCCGACTAAAATTGATCAAATTCGGGTTTGATTCGGGCTCAATTATAGCCCAATTGACCCAATTCGTGTTCAATTTAACCCCAAATAAGTTAAATTGACTTTTTGGCTGTTTTTAATCATTTTCTCATATCAGGAAACTAAATCAAATGGTTGAGATATAAAAAGCCACTGCTCACCCATCACTTCCCTCTGATTTGAACAGCTACAGCAGGATACCGCAACAGAAAATCTAATTGAGCGAAATCTTATTTCGTTTCGCGTATAGAGAGAGCGGGAGACAAGAGAAGAGGGCATTCAGCCTCTGGTTTGTGTACGTCCCAGAGAGAGCGAGAGAGCGAAGACCCCGAAGGCCCTGTTCGCTCCGAACTCCTTCGTACGCAAAGCCCCCATCCCCACCAAAATTGCTCGCATGCAACCTCCATTCCCAAAGCCCCTATCCGTGCGAAACCACTGCTCACGCGTGGCCTCCATCTACGACCTCCGTCCGTGTGTAACCCGTGGCTCGGCTTGATGAGAGCTCGTTCATGTTCGTTTGATAAGATAAACAAAAGAGCTTGAACACTTTTGATAAATACTTGATAGCTAAATAAAGAGCTTGAACAACTTGGCGTTCGGTTCATTTATATTCATGAACAGTGTCATTTAATACTCGTGAACAAACTCGATTAAAGATCGACTAAGAAGCTCGATTAGAACTATATGAGAGTTTTAAAAAATACATATTGTTAAATTTAATAATTTATTTTTAATAATCCCATCTAAAATAATTTAATAATTTATTTTTACTTCCCGCATATGCCTAAAATCGCAAACAACCCGCTCTCTGAATAAATATAAGATGAATCATAGATTGTTTGTTTGTGAACAAACTCATTTGGTAGCTCGAAAATACTAATTAGATATGTTCATGTATGGGCTCATCTAATAGCTTAAGAATACTCATTAGATATGTTCATGAATGAGCTTATTTGAAAGTTTAAAAAACTTCGCTAGATATGTTCACGAACAGACTTGATTTAATTATTTGTTAGAAGGCTCGATAAGGCTCGTTTGTTAAGTTAATGTACATCTAGAAGTAGAGCTCGTTTATAGTTCGATATGGCTCGTTCGTATAAAGATCAATAAGCATGAAATGAACCAAAAATGAACACCCATTAATTTAAATGAGCCAAGCTTGAACACAAACAAAAAAGCTCAAATCAAACTTGAACTGAATTGAACAAGCTGATAATAAATAAACTCAAACATGAACACGCATATACTCAGCTCGGCTCGGTTTGTTTGCAGCTCTATTCATGTGGAACCCCCATCCAGGTCTCGATCTGTGCAACGTTTCTTCCTATCAGAGGGCTTCTACTCCTTCCTCCTTCAACTCATTCGTTTGCACTCTTCTCAGAGCCAAATAGGCATGCCGATTCGCATAGGGTGGTTGGATTGGCGTCTGATAACCCCCAAATGCATGTTTTAGCATCCATGTTGTGCTCAATGCCTTCACCTACAACTAAACCCTAAGTTTAAGAGATTTCATTTGATGATAAATCAAATGTTGAGGTGTAGACTTTCACAATGACGCATGCTATGTTATATCTCTTAGATTGATGTGTTATAACAAAATTAACACATAAATGTGGGAACTCACACTTAACGAAGCTTGTGGATTTTCCAAAATTTTAATGAGTACTCAAAATGCATTTGATTGAGTTCAAACATTTAGCGTATTGGTTGTAGGATTTGACATGAACCCCCAAAGGTTTATGTTGCAAATCCTAGAATCAATGAAGCTCTTGAGATTTATTTTGAGTGTTTCATGAGGATTATGGAAATGATAATGAATTATCACCTCCTCTAACTCTTGAAATCCCTCAAAATTAGAGGCTATCACTCATGCTTCCAATGCACCAATCATGTCAAAATTGATTGGAAATTCCCTTCCAACTTTAGATGTATGTTCCCTAGGCGGGATTTCGGGCAGAATATCGGGGAATCCGGCAGAGGTATGTTGCGTTATATATTTTTTGTTCTCTTTTGGGTTTGATCCGGAGGTCAACACTCATCATATATTATATATATGCATGAGCCTTCAAAGGTCACAATGTGTGGGTTCAACTTCACCCTATCTATATCATGACAAAATTAGTCAAGGTTTAGGAGAGCTTGCATGTTGAATTTGAAGATCCTCTAGAAGTTAGGAAGACAACTAAATAGACTCATTTAATTCTAAATAAATTTGAGACGTAGCATGGGCCCTCATAAACACTTATATTTGGAATTATTTAATCATATTTATGTAACCTCCAAATTAGAAGTTTGAAATGAAATGATCAAAACATATGCATGTTGTGGGTCATTTGCTAACTCATTTAACTAAAGTTTACGAATTTATAAGCATAATTATTCAATTCCTAAGTGCTTGTACAGCAAAGGGTGGAGTATTACATGGCTTTCAAAGGTTCATGGATCATACCCCACTACGTATTGGAATTATCTAAGCATGGTTAACATGATTTGTAAACTAAGAGGTTGAGTGCAATGGTATCCAATTGAATATCTAATGAAGCTAATAAAATGATAAATCATCTCATAAATGCTCCTAGGTTCTTCTTAGATCATACCAAATATGATCTTAAAACTCCCTAGAAGTTGTAGGAATAAATTCTTCCTACCCAAATCCCTTAATCATGCCAAAATTAATTTGAGAATCTTTTCATTGCATTAGGAGCTTTCTTCTAGGTGCTCTTTTTCCTCTCATGCATGATGGTTTGAGGTTCCTCAACCCTTCAAACTTATCACTACATGAGTCCTTCAACCTTAGGGCCAAATCCTATGTTCATTCCACTTCTTGTTTGTTGAAATACAAAATCAACAAACAATCATCCCTCCTTCCTCATGTATTGCATGTGGAACCACCTTAAGGTTTCTAATGTTACATTACATGAGTCATTGGATCTTGGGACAAAATCCTAAGTCATTCAGCTCTAGTTTGTTGAGACACAAAATCAACAAACATTCTTCTGTTCCTTTCATGTGTGGTATTTGGAGAATCCTCAAAGCACTGAATATTTCAAACATGCCTTAGGGAATACCACCAATCTCCCTCCTGTCTTGTATTATGGATTTCACCAAAATCTTAAGCACGTCATATTGTAAATCCTTGAACTTAGAATCAAACTCTTAAGTTTTCCTTAAATCTTTTGTTGG